ATCAAAGCCATGCTCGGTGACCTTCCCTCCATTCAGTTTCTCTCTGTTCAACACGTCGGCAGAGAAAAACAAGATTCTCTCCTGTTTGCTCTAAAATCTGATTCTGAAAATAATAAAAAAACGTTTTTTGATCGTGAAAGTTTCCAGATGATGAAACTTTGAGTTCACAGTTAATGGAATGATTCAAACTCTTCAAACAGAATTGAATCGTTTCTACGTCAGATAGAAAATAAATCTATTCTGTGACTCATGTGTTGCCAAGAAACATCTTTTAGTTTTATATTGAATATTTAATAATCGTTCATGCATTTGTTTTTAAACACGTCTGTTTCACAGAAAATCATTTGTAGAGACAAACTTTGTGAAACGGGGACAGATCTGTAAATGAGACAGAAACTTGATTCTAGATTTAGTCACTGAACTTGATGATTTCAATCTCAAGGTTCTCACGACACAGATTTTATATTCGAGAAAAGCTCGGAGACGATGGAGAGAAATGAAAATAGACATTCAAGTCTTTACAGTTTCCATCCACATGGATTCTGTCAGGAAAGTGAGACACGTCATTTTGTGAAAGATCGTTTGAAACCACAGTCAGTGATCGACAATCTGTTTCTCAATAATAACGACACCAGTGAAGACCTGTCCTTTAATTATCATTTAGAATAAGTCTGTTGGTGTGACATCACTTTTAGTCTCTGGTCATGTTGTAAGTTAAGATCTTGTGCTTTAATGTTTGAGTGGAAATGAAATCAACTTTAAGATTTCTTTTATATAAAATTAGGGTTTTTTCCCGCAAAGCACATTTTTAAACATGATGCGTATTTTGGATATTTTCAGTCCGTACAGAACCGGGTTGAACAGCGGTTGACATGTGAGCCAATATAAAGATAAAAACACACGTGACATCATGTGTAAACTGCTCATGTTAAACCTGCTCTGCATGATTTCAAAGAAAGCCCCGAARGAGAAGTTGAGCAGCGACAGCAGGTGGGGGGTGCAGGTGCTGACGGCTTTTTGTCTCGTCTGCTTCGAACCAGAGAAACAAACTTTTAAAATCCTCGCGTACGTGAACAAGATCAAAACAAGGAGACTAATCACTACAGAAAACATGTACAGGAGTCCGAAGATGTTGTTGACGGACGTGTCGGAACAGGCGAGTTTCACCAGAGAGTAGTTGTCACAGTAAACTTTGGTGATAATGTTCCCGCAGAGTTTCAGACGAGCCATTAGAGACACAGTAACCAGGACCGCAATGACAGAGACGGACCAGATCACTGCAGTGAGAGCAGCCACCTTGTTTGCTGTCATTACGCTGTTATACTGCAGAGGGCGACATATAGCAAGGTATCGGTCATAAGACATGATGGCTAAAGTCAAAAATTCTACATGACCATAAGAGTGAACACAGAAGATCTGCAGGAAACACAGAGGAAGAGAAACCGTGTGAACGTCCGAGAGAATCTGAACCAGGAGCAAAGGAAACAAGCCTGTGCTGCCGTACAGTTCATTTACAAACAGGCTGCACAGAAACACGTACATAGGTTCATGGAGACTTCTGTTCATACAGATAACTACAATCAGCAGCACGTTGGCACAAACGATCAACAAGTACAACGACAGGAGCATCATGAAGAACAAGTATCTCAACAGTCCAGAGTCCACATACGCAGCCAGAGTGAAATAAGAAACTCTGGAGGAGTTCATCACGATTCTTTAGGTTCACACAACAAACGAGCTCATCGGACGACAAACACACGAACCAGGGTCGTTAACAACACATCGCCCCCCCGACTGAGCCCAGACGCCGGCAGCTTCCTTTAACCTTCAGACCAGTGAGACGCCCACAGCTGCAGAGTCACAGTGAGGTCACAAAGTGAGGTCACAGTGTCCAACCCTGAAGACACACGTGTGTCTGTCCCCTGGAGTCTTGTCCTCAGTATGTTCTCAGTATGGGGACCAGTCTAATGTTCCACAGGTTTCTCACATTTTAAAGTTGTGTTTGATTGATACTTGAAGTAAACATGTCAGATCTGACACATGACACATGATCTGTGAACAGTGACTCATACACGTCGTTGTTCAACTGTGTCACTTCCTGTTTCTGACCTTTAACCTTGCGGAGGCCTCACTGATGTCAGCTGGACTGAGACAGATCCTGGTCCGTCCTGTCGCTCTTCAAACCCACATCTGGCCTAAAACAGAAGAAACCAGGAAGCAGCTGTGACCTCATGAAGAGGCGATGATTGACTTCATCTGGTTACCATGGTAACATCATATAGAACTTCACAGTACTCTACAGTACTCCATAGTACCACAGTACTCCACATCAACGTCCTCGTGGTTCAAACATTTTATCGTCGGAGGTGCAGACTGCAGCTGCTTCCTCTGTTTCTTCTTCTATGGTTTATTGTGTCTCTACTTCCTGTGATTGGTCAAAAGTCCAAACTGTCCAACAGAACCAGGTTCAGTTGGATCCAGACCCAGAACTCCTCTTCTGGACCAAGAACCAAAGTATGAACGAGTCCTCTCTTTGTAACTGGAGGCAAAATCCCATGAATCTTATTTCCAGGAAAAGTACAATTGAAATACACATACATTATACAGTAGTACACAGAAGGTACACAGCTCAGAGGAGCACGTTCTACCTTCAGTTACTTCACTTCATTCTTCGTCTCATCCTAACGACAGCAGGAACTTTACTGCTCTTTGTCCACCTTCCAGCTCGACTTTGTGAAAGTGGCAGTTTGATTCTGCCTCTTTGCCTCTTTGCCTCTTTGTCTCTTCTTAAGGAACTAAATAAATATATTAGATATGTTGATGTCAATGCTTCAGCTTGTGTTTCAACAAATGCTAAAAATACCTCAGATCCTGTTCTCTCCCCTGAATGAGGTCACTGTGTGGACGGCCCCTGAGCTGGAACTGTTAAAAGAGGATGTTTCAGAGCTTCAGCTCAGTTTGGACGAGCAGCAGCGGAACCTCAGGATTCACTTCGTCACATCGTCTCCATTGTTTTTCTAGATGATGTTTTTCTTTACTGAGTCGAGGCTGAACGTCATGAACGTGTTTGATTCTGCACATGAGTGTTTTCTTTTGTTTTCTCTTCTTCACGACCCTAAAGAATCGTGATGAACTCCTCCAGAGTTTCTTATTTCACTCTGGCTGCGTATCTGGACTCTGGACTGTTGAGATACTTGTTCTTCATGATGCTCCTGTCGTTGTACTTGTTGATCGTTTGTGCCAACGTGCTGCTGATTGTAGTTATCTGTATGAACAGAAGTCTCCATGAACCTATGTACGTGTTTCTGTGCAGCCTGTTTGTAAATGAACTGTACGGCAGCACAGGCTTGTTTCCTTTGCTCCTGGTTCAGATTCTCTCGGACGTTCACACGGTTTCTCTTCCTCTGTGTTTCCTGCAGAACTTCCTGTTGTACTCGTACGGAGGTGCAGAGTATTTAAACCTGGCCGTCATGTCTTATGACCGATACCTCGCTATATGTTGCCCTCTGCAGTACAACACACACATGACAGTTAAGAAGATTGCAGTACTAATCAGCGTGGCGTGGTTTTGTCCTTTGCTTCTGTGTTTAGTTATGACGTCTTTGAGTAACTCTTTACATCTGTGTGGAACCATTATTGAGAAAGTTTACTGTGACAACTTCTCCATAGTCAAACTGGCCTGTTCCGACACCACAGTCAACAACATCTATGGACTGTTTGTGAGCTCTTTGTCAATATTTTCTCCTCTAATTCTCATTTTCTTCTCCTACATGAAGATTCTGAAGATCTGTCTCTCTGGCTCCAAGCAGACGAGACAGAAAGCCGTCAGCACGTGTGCTCCTCACCTGGTCTCTCTGCTCAACTTCTCATGTGGAGCTTGTTTTGAAATCCTGCAGAGCAGATTTCGCATGAGGACGTTACCCAATGTTTTGAGGATATTCTTGTCCTTGTACTGGCTCACGTGTCAGCCGCTGCTCAACCCGTTAGTCTACGGACTGAATCTGTCCAAAATGCGCATCATATGTAAAAGTCTTGTTTTTGCTGAAATAACACGTTGATTCGGGTCAAAACATGTCTGAGCTGATTAAAGATTAAAAACTGTGAATTCAAGTTGTTTTCTTAGAAACAGGGTTTTTAAATATAATGAAAGAAAGAATAAAGCTTTTACTGTCTTGGACTCGACTGGAGTTTCTTGCTGCTCCTGCTGCTGCTGTTACACACACTCTGCTCAGTGTCTATGATACAGGTATTTCAAATACCTCTTTGAAATACACAATAGTATTTTGTCATTTGTATTAGATGAACGTTGATTCAGTTCAAGTTATATTTTCTTTATTTACAGAAAAACAAGCACATGGATAAAACTTAAATTAGATCCTGTAACATCGGCCTGAGAGAAAACCTGTTGAAGAGGATTCATATTTCATATCCAAATACTTTACTGTTCTGTATTTGTGTAGTTTAAAAATACTTAAAGATACTTTCTGTGAGACGTGATGATTCATAAACATGAGAGGTTGGAGAGAGAGAGAGAGAGAGAGACAGAGAGAGAGAGAGAGAGTTGAGCTGGTGTCAGCTGCTGAAAATGTACAATCATTTTTCAAAAAGAACTGTTCGTTCATTAATAAAGCACAAACGTAGTAAAGCACAAACGTAACTCGTTATTTTTCCTGCAAACCTTTTTTCTGTTTGTGGGTTTATTACATTAAAGCTGCAGATCTGACGTCGGCTTCGCTTCATTTCTGCTGTTTGTACCTGGACTTCCTGTCAGAATGGTCTGATCTGGATTCTGACTTCCACCAAGTCGTTATGATTTAGTTCGTCAGCAGGACGATGTAAAAAACTATCAAAACGTTTGTGGAAACGTTTTAAAGTAAAGGATTACATGTGGTGAGATTAGGAAACTGATGGTGGAAACATTATGATTTTGTTCTTTTCATATTTAACAGATTTACACAAAAAGTATTTCACTGATTCCGTGATACAAATCCGTGTTTAGGAGCCTGATATTTATGGGTCCAAATAAACACATACATGTATGTGTGGTTTGATAAGCACACTGGTACATACATGTATAACCTCAGCAGTCAGACTGAAACTCGTCAAGATTAAAAAGTATGAAATAAATGACACTTTTAACAAATGTGTAAAAATCTTTATTTATTCACATCTTAACTCGCTGCTCATAAACTGAAACA